TATCAGTTTCAAATGCCTTAGTTGACTTTTATGGGAAATGTGGATGCACGGATGACGCCTACAGAGCTTTCAAGGGGATTTCTGAGCCAGATATTGTATCATGGAACGGATTGATATCTGGATTGGCATCAACTGGGCACATCTCCTCTGCTCTCTCCACCTTCGATGACATGAGGCTGGCAGGATTTAAACCTGATTACATTACATTCCTGTTAGTGCTTTTTGCTTGCAGCCATGGTGGTTTGGTTGAATTAGGTCTTGAGCATTTTCAGTCAATGAGAGAAAAGCATGAGATAGCTCCACAACTGGATCACTATGCCTGTTTAGTTGATCTCCTTGGCCGAGCGGGTCGACTAGAGGATGCCATGGAAGTGATCATGACAATGCCTTTTAAACCAGATGCCTTAATCTATAAGACATTATTGGGTGCTTGCAAGTCACATAGAAACATTGCTCTGGGGGAATATGTCGCAAGGCAAGGTACTGAACTAGACCCGTCTGATCCAGCTTTTTATGTGCTGCTTGCAAATTTGTATGAAGAATCTGGTCAGCCTGATTTAGCCAAGAGCACCCGAAGGGTGATGAGAGAGAGGGGATTGAAGAAGAATCCTGGGCAGTGCTGGATGGAGATAAGAAACAAGGTTCACCTATTCAATGCAGGAGATAGATCACATCCACAGATAAATGAAATCCATGAAAAAGTAGAATCGCTTATAACGGAGTTGAAGAACCGAGGAAACTTGTATCAGGACTATGAAGATTCATCTTATCATAGTGAGAAGCTAGCTGTTGCATTTGGTCTTCTCAGAACGCCGCGAAACGCTTCCATACGCATATCGAAGAACATGCTTATATGCAGCGAATGCCATAACTTTATAATGCTTGTAACTCAATTTGTTGATAGGGAGATCATTGTGAGGGACGGGAACCGATTGCATGTCTTCAAGAAGGGTGAGTGCTCGTGCATGGTTGCAGCTAGTTTACAACAGGACGAAATATTTCATAACTCTGTATGCCATAGTTGATGTTCTATAATGACATTCGAAAATAACGAGGATTCTGCGGACAG